GGAAGGAAAAAAGAAATGAAGGAAGTTGAAAGCACGCCCAGTGGGTGGCACCTGGCAGGGCCCTGGCATTCGTCCATCTGAGCAGCTGACAGCCAAGCATCACGATGACTAAGGAAACTGAATGCTCAGGCGTGGTGCTGGGCGTGGTGCGTGCAATCACAGACAAGCACAGCCAAAGGAACTGGAAAAACCACAGTTCCACTTGACTGCTGTCCTGGCACAGCCACAGGGGAACCCAGAAGAGCACAGCTGGTGGCCAGCACCAGGCCAGGTCTCACCAGGTGAGCGCTCCCTCCTTGGGAAATTGCCTTCCTCCAGTCCAGTGGCTCTCAGTGCCACCCTGGCAGCTCTTAGGAATTGTGTATAATGCCTGAGGCTCCTCCTGCGGGGAGGGGTCTGACAGGCTTGGGGAGGATTTGGTAGTTTGTGGAGCTACCTCAGTGAACAGGTGCCACTTGAGGCAAGTTTGAAATTCATGTTCAAAGTTAGAAAACAAAAAAAGGAAGAAGGCTTGCACCAGAGATAAACAGATAGAGGTGTGAGGTGAAGGGTGTATCTGCGGCTACATGGGGGACATCCATCAGGCTGTGCAATTTTAGTGTCTCACCATTTGGTCAATTATACCTCGATCGAGCTGAGAACAGTTTCCTGAAGCCTGACTGCAATGTGCTTATAACAAAGCACAAATAGTCTCATGGAACAAAATAAATGTTCCATCCCAGTCACTTAAATATGTACATAAATATACACACTATATACAGTATAGGTTGTATTGTTCATGAGGGCTAGTGTCTAACATATAAAAGAATGAGAATAAAGATGCAAACAAAAGAGGTCAGCAGAAAAAAATGTGTGTACCATGTTTCTAAGGGAGAACCTGGGGGTTGAAAGGAAGAAAATGGAAAGAGAAAAAATGAACAGGAAAGAGCAAAAGACAGAGAATCAAGGATTGATCGGGGCTGTGTCTGAGGGTAACTTCCATCATGTGTGAGGGCAGTGACATCCTGCAGGTGGTGGAAAAGGCGAAGCATTTCTGGGCTCTCAAATCAGGAACAGAGGGATCAGATGACTGAGGTGGGTTCTGTATGAGCTGCAGTGAATCCTATGTGTGCACATACCTGTGAGTTCACAGGGGAGCGACCAGGGGCCCCAGGGTGAGCAGTGGGGACAGAGGAGACTGTAGGCCCTGTAGAAAACCAGATGTGCCCCATGCCCAGCTCTGCACTGGGTCCTCCAAGGTCCATGGGGAAGTTATAACACAAAGGGTCTTTCTCAAATAGCCAGTGTCCTGCACTCAAGATGTGACCAGAAGTAGGAGAGCACCTTGGCTCTGTTTTTGGGAAGATCTGAAAGCAAGATGAGGTATAATTTAACAGCTCCTTAAAGTCCATGTTAGCCAGGCATCCATCATGCAAGTGAGACAGGTCAGGGAAAGGTGGGTAGGCCTTGGGATCTGTAGAAAGGCATGAGTGATCCAGTGTTCCCATGTAGGGACATGGGCCCTTTTGGCTCAACCCTCACATTTTTCTAAAGAAGCCACACATAGGGATTTTTATTCAAAATCTTTAAATGTTGGCAATTAATATCACAAGTTAGGGGCTATATTCCATCCATGAGTTTCCAATCCATGTCTGAGGTTTAGATGCAAGAACCAGTTTGACTTGTTTAATGAACTACTGGATGAGGCTGTGCTAATCTCAGACACCATGATTCCTGTCCCTGTGAAGGCACAGAGGGTCCATCACTAACCTAAATTCACATGGTCCATTTGTCACACAAATGCACAAGTTCGCAAATCCCTTGGAGAATGTTGTTTGTATGACACCTTATTACAGTAGTTACCCATTGGGGTATAACAGATGACCCCAATACTTAGTGGCTCAAAACAACACTGATGACCTGACTGTTTCTGTGGCTGTGGATGCCATGCCTGACTCAGGTTGCTTCTGGATAAAGGCTTCATGAAGTTGCAGTCATGCTGTTGGCCAGGTCGCCGCCTTCAGTCTTAGCTCCAGCCAGAGTGCCGCTCCTATAGTTCCCTTCACCTCCCCCACCCTTCCCCTCATAGCAGGCATTCTGTCCTGCCCAGCCACTCTCCACCTGCACGCATGCTGCCCAGATGCCCAGAGTGGCTGGGGGGGTGGGGCCCCCACAATCTTTGTTGGGTTAATTTGCATACTCTTTCTTGATTGGCTAGTGGGCATCATGAAGTGACAGTCAATTTCCATGTTTCTCTTTTATTAGTGTAGATCTTTTATATTACATTATTTTATATTATTTATATTATTTTATATTAGTTTCAGGTGTACAACATTGTAGCTTATATGACTTACAAGGTAATCCCCTACGTAAGTATGGTTACCGTTCCCCCCCCCCCCGACAGCTTACATAGTTATTACAACATCATTGACTCTGTTCTGTGTGCTGTGCTTGACATTCCCATGACTATTCTGTAACTGCCAATGTGCACTTACCAATTCCTTCACCCTTTGCACTCATCTCTCGACCCCCCTCCCCTCTGGCAAACCTAAGTTGTTCTTTGAATCTGTTTCTGTTTTGTTTGTTCATTTATATTGTTCTGTAGATTCCACATGTAAGTGGAAGCATATGGCATGTGTCTTTCTCTGTCTGACTTATTCCACAGAGTATAACATCCTCTAGGTCCATCCATGTCATTGAAAATGGTGAGACTTCTTCTTCTTTTTTATTTTTTTCAATCATGTTGACCTTGATTCTCCTTCCCAGGCTCCAGCTCCCAAGTCTGCCTCTTCATCCCATTGACACTAGAAGCACAGCCTTTCCTTCTGCTCTCAGTCCCCTGGCCTTGAGCTTAAAACCCTCTAATCCATCCTCTAATCAGTCCCCCATATCACCTTTGCTATAAGTGCTTGCTAAAATGTAAATTTGTCCTGCTGTAAATCCTTTGTTGACCGTGCATTACCTGCTATTATACTTTCTCTGCCCTAAATCTGGGGTTAGTTCTCCTTTGTGATACTGTTTACTAGTTTGAAATTATCTCCAGCTATTCAAAGGATGGATGCCATAAAGAGTTGAGTACCTACTTTCTTATAACATGGACACAAATGGAAAGATGGCCCCTCAGCAGTAAAGCTCACAGTTAATAGCTATCTTACAGTTGCCCACAGTGAGAGCCCTGGGAGTTAATGATGTGACATTCACTTGTAAACTGCAAATTGCCACGTGACCCACAGATTATCCCTGTGGCCCCCAGCAAAAATAATGAATGAGGGCTGGTTCAGTTTCAAAGGGCTTAATGATTGTGGCCAGATGATTATGCATTCATAGATCATAATAATCTGGTCACTTAGTATATATATGTTTTATTATTGATTTTGGAGAGAGGAAGGGAGAAGGAGAGAGTGATAGAAGCATCAATATGAGAGAGAACCATTGATTGGCTGCCTCCTGCAGACCCCCCTGGAGGGACCAAGCCTGAAACCTGGGCATGTGCCCTTGACGGGGAATTGAACTGAGACCTCCTGGTTCATAGATCAACGCTTCACCATTGAGCCATGCCAGCCGGGACCAAGGTTTCTACTCTATATCTTAACATGGTTTAAGGGTGGCTCAGCCCTTTTAATCATGGCATCACTGCCATTGTATAAGTTGTAATAATGCAAAGGTAAGCACTATCTCAGTTTTAAATGAGGAAACTGAGGTTTAGAGAGATTGAGTGTCTTGCTCTAGCAGATATTGTCTTTCTCTCCAAACCCAAGTCAGAAATCTACTTCTCAACTTGGAGAAGTGAAGGAGGGGAAGCACAGGCTTTATTCATACTGGGCAACTGAGCTGTCCATCTCCTTTCAAACTTTCCAACCAAGTCTCTTGTGCTCTCCAACAGACCTCAGCTTGACACTCATCAAACTCCAACCTGTTGGTTTCTTTGACCACATGTCCATCTGCTTTTACCTCTGTGGGAGAGAAAGAACCATTTGCTTGAGAAAGAGAAACAGGCCTGGTCCCTCTGTGTATCTCACCCCCTTCCTTCCTGGTCCCTCTGTGTATCTCACCCCCTTCTTCTATCTATAGCAGGAGTTAGGAGTTTGCTTACAGAATCTGACAGGTGCAGCAGGTCCCTGAACCCACACTCCTGAACCAACATGTCCCTGGAGGTCGGCCAAGCCCTGTAACTGCACTCACCAGGCACAGCCAGGGTCTCTTCAGCTCCCACTATTGAGCAATAACCCATTGACCGGGCTCCTTAACATTCAAGTATAAACACTGACAAAACTGTAAAAAGCAGTCAGCCCATGAAACATTGACTCTGTGTCCGGCAGACATCATCTGCTTCCTGGACTCCCTGAATCCCATCAGCCATGAGTAACAAGGTCTAAGACCTTCATTTGCATGAGGAGTGTCACCAATGAGGAGAGGATGCCAGTCCATCCAATACATCACCCACATTCTCTTTCTCTGATGGAGAAAGATGAGACACCTTCTTGAGTCATGAACCGGGCAGTTTTCAGACAATGTCGATGTCTAAGCTGTGTTTTGCCCAAGTTACAGGGTCCCGTAATGGCTGAGAGACATAGGATCAGCGACCGGGGAAGGCCGTCATTTTTCCTCCCTTCCTTCATTACCTGAAAGCTGACCTTGTCTTATCTCAGTTTCAGAGGTACCTGTGCAGACTCAGGGGTTACCCAGCCCGAAGTCTGAATTATCAAGACTGGGCTTATGTGGTTGCCAAGTGGGCCTCAGACACTTCAGGACTTAGGAGGAAGGCAGATGCCTGGAAGAACCATGGTTGGCTCCAGTCAAAGCCCAGGGACATGCTCAAGGATGGCTTCCCAGAAGAAGTGGGCCCTTCCTACCTGTGCCTACAACCTGATGGGAGACCCAAGGGCCTCAGGACAGCAGTAGGCTCCTACCAGTCTCCATTTCCCCCTTCAGGTTTGCAATGAACATCTGGCTTAGTGGGTGTGGCCTGTGTGGTAAGAGGCTTTGGCATGAATCACTGGGAACTAGTCATGTTGTCATCACCGTGATATTACAGGAATTGCCACCATGGCTCATGGCTTACACTCCCCATGGCTGTGGACTGGGAACCTTTATAAAGTCCACAGGCACAGCTTCTTGGCCAGTCTCCTGAGCTGTGAGGCCATCAGCATGAGGATCTCTTACCTGGTCTTTGGGTTGCTGCTTCTGTGCCTGGTGCCTGCTCCAGGTAAGCTGGGCTGGGGCAAGGGTGGTGAGGGTGGAGGGCATGCCAACCAGAGCTAGCCTCTCCTCATTCCTCAGGATGCTGTAGACAGAGATGTGTTGCATCAATTTTTGTTTCTGATAAGGATCAAGTACCTGAAAGCATGTTCCCCAACCTTTGTGGATCCACTCTTTTTATTTCTGTGTGTGTGTGTGTTTTTTTTTCTTTTGTTTTTTCTTCTTCTTCTTTCTTTAATGTTATTTTGTATTGGCTTTAGGTGCACCAGACAATCATATTCTGTAGAAAGTAACCCCTTAGACGTTCCCCAGCTGGCACCATCCATACTCACCTTGATTATTATTAATGTTATTTTCTAAGCTTTGCCTGCTTCCTCATGACTGCTTTGTGTCACAATTTGTGCTTCTCAGTTCCTTCTCTGCTTACACCAGCCCCCAACCCTGCCCCTCTTAACAAACTAAGTAGCTCAAAAACACACACCCTTTAATGAGAAAACTGTTATCCCTGTTAATGAGACATGAAGGAAGTGACACAGACATTTTAGAACCAACACAAAAGGTTGATTATATCTGAGAACAGAAGCACAGACTTGCATTGTATTAGCTTGGTGGTTGGAGGGAAGGTCTTTGGGCCGTTGCCAGCCTTCCACATGTCCCCCTTCCCCCCATCACGGGTGCTCCCTATGGCCACACTTGCCAGCACCACGTCATCTATGGCTGAGCTGCGGCCCTAAGATACTTTGTTGACTGAATGCTTGGTGCTGCTTCTACTTTACTCCTGATTTCATAGAACAAGAAAGAAAGATATCTCTTTATATAAAAGTCTAAGTGACCAGCTGACAGGCCAGTAGCTATGAAGCACGATGACCACAAGGGGTCAGACATTCCAACTGGTAGCTATGATGCGCACTGAGCACTAGAGGGTAGATGCTCAATGTTAAGAGCTGCCAAGCTGCAATGATTTGGCAGCTGCAGTTCTCAGGTAATACACCAGGAATCAGAGAGGAGGGAGTCCGATTCTGGGGTGCATCACCTGAGAACTGTCCTTTTGAAATCCAGGATCCCTTGGGGGATGTCAGAGAGTGGTTTTAGCCTGATGCCCCCAGGCCAGGCCAAAGGACCCCCACAGGTGCATAAATCTGTGCACCAGGCCTCTAGATTAAAAATAAAAAAAGTCTACTTGAGGAATTCCCAAAACCTTGCATTTATACCCAAGCCTTCCTGGAATCTTCCCCTGTATTCTGTTCTCTCCTTGCAGGTTACGGAGGGATCATAAGCACAGTGCAGAGGTATTTTTGCAAAGTGAGGAGTGGCCGCTGCGCCTTGGTGAGCTGCCTCCCCAAGGAGGAGCACATAGGCAGCTGCTCGATAAACGGCCGAAAGTGCTGCCGGAGGAGGAAGTGAAGGTCCTGGGCACGGGGAGAATGTTGTCACGTGCGAAGACGCCTGTGTGGAGTTTATAAAAGCAAAATTACAGTAAATATATTTTTAAAAAAACCAGAAGTTTGATTGTGTTTATAAAACCTTGGTTTTTATGGTGGTTGCGACTCCTTAGAAAGTGTCACTGACTCTCCTTTCATTCAAGTCAAGTCTAACCTTGGGGAATCCACAGGGACCTGGGCTGAGTTTAATCTTTATTGTTCATATTATTACAAATGTTCATTTCCCGCCCCCCTCCATTTCTCCCCTCCACCAAGTTCCCACCCCACCCTCTGTCCTTTCCCCACCCCTCATTGTCCTCATCCATAGGTGCACAGTTTATGTTCAGTCTCTTCCCACATCCCCCTCTCCCCTTTTCCCCAAGAATTGTCAGTTCACTCCCTTTCCATACCTCTGATTCTATTATATTCACCAGTTAATATTGTTCATCAGATTTTTTTTAATTCCCTTGATTTTTAGATTCACTTGTTGATAGTTACGTATTTATTGTTCATAGTTTTTATCTTTATTTACTTTCTCTTCTGAAAGAACCCCCTTCAGCAATTCATATAATTCTGGTTTGGTGGTGGTGAACTCCTTTAGCTTTTTTTTATTAGTGAAGCTCTTTATCTGACCTTCGATTTTGAGTGATAGCTTTGCTGGGTAGATTATTTTTGGCTGTAGATTCTTGCTATTCATCACCTTGAATATTTCTTGCCATTCCCATCTGGCCTGCATGGTTTCTGTTGAGAAATCAGCTGACAGTCATATGCGTGCTCCTTTATATGTAACTACCTGCTTTTCTCTTGTTGCTTTTAATATTCTCTCTTTGTCTTTTGCTCTTAGAATTTTAATTATGATTTGTCTTGGTGTTGTCTTCTTTGGTTTCCTTTTGTTTGGAGTTCTGTGAGCTTCCTGGACTTGTAAGTCTATTTCTTTCACCAGGTGGGGGAAGTTTTCTGCCACTATTTCTTTCAGTATGTTTTCAATATCTTGCTCTCTGTCATCTTCTGGGACCCCATAATTCTGATGTTGGTTTGCTTGAAGTTGTCCCAGAGGTTTCTTACATTATCTTCAACTTCCTGGATTCTCTTGTCTTCTTGCTTCTGTGGAGGAGTGTCTTCTGACTCTTTATGTTCCAAATCTTTGACTTGATTCTTGCGATCTTCCATTCTGTTTTTAGGACTCTGTATAATATTTTTTGTTTCAGACAATGTATTCTTTATTTCTTGTTGATCCCTTATTATTTCTTGTTGATCCCTTTTCAGATCTTTATAGGTCTTATTGGCCTTTTCTAGGAAATTCTTGAAAAACTTTATAAGCGTGGTTTTGAACTCTATATCCAGTCACTTTTTGTTCTCCATTTCTTTCATTTGTGATCTGTTTCCTTGTCTCAGCATTTTTGCAGCTTTCCTGAGTTGGTAGCCTTAAAAGTCTCTGTGTTCATCTTGGAAGGGGAAGAATTTCAGGGTGGAGCCTACAGCCTTGGCTTCCATCAGCCCCGCCCTATGAGGCTCCTGAGTCTAGGTGTTCCTCAAGGTCCCTGGTACTCACCGCAAGTGCCTCTGAGAGAAAGACACCCTTGAGTTTCGCCTTCTACCAAACAGTCTAGACTCTCCCCCAATGAGCCTGGAACTGGGGTTCAGTTCAGTTGGAAGTGGGATTGGAAGTGGGGTTCAGAGCAGTCTGGAGCTTTTGTCTCCTTCCCACCAGAGCAATCCAGCAGCACAGTCAACCGTCTGTTCTCTGCATGCAATGTGAGCGCCTCTGGGACTTCCTTTCACTGCTCCCCTGGGTTTCCACCTTACAGCCCAGGCTCCCTCTGTATGAGCCTGGGTCCCCGGGGTCTGGCCTAGAACTTGGGTTCAGTGCAGTTGGAACTGGGTTCAGCACAGTCTGGAGCTTTTGTCTCCTTTCCGCTAAGGCAATCCAGCAGCAGAGTCAACAGCCCATCCTCTGCGCACAATGTGCAAGCCTCCTTTCGCTGCTCCCCTGATATTTCACCTTATAGCACAGGCTACCTCTGTATGAGCCTGGGTCCCCAGAATCTGGCCTAGTACTGGGGATCAGTGCTGTCAGGTCTGGGGTTCAGCACAGTCTAGAGCTTTTATCTTCTTCCCGCTAGGGAATGCCACCAGGCACTCAGCTGCCCCCTCCTCTCAGGCTCCATCCTCTCCCCACGCCCGCACTGTGTCTCCGTATCTTAGGCTTTTACAGCTCCTCTGCTTTTCCTTCTGGTTTTCTCTTTTCTTCTTGTTGTAGAATTTCCAGTCAGTCGACTTTCCTGTAGTTCTGGGTAATGTCCATTTTTATTTTAGTTGTATTTTATTGAAATTTTTGTGTGCGGCTGCGGTTAAGTGTTTACCTTTGCTGCCATCTTGGATCCTCTCCTCTCTTTGCTTTTTTGTCACCCATGTCTGAGCTTTCCATTTTTCTTCCTGACATGGCTCCTCCCCCTGAAACCCATCTCTAGGATGTCAGTGCATTCTCGGGGGCCCTCCGAGTCCTTGTGAACACCTGACTCTTCCTAAGATGCTCCTGTTTTCTTCTCTGCAATGCCTCTGCTCCAGACGACCTCACACCTGACGTATAAGCTCTCTCCTGGCTTTTCCTCTAAGCTTCACCCCTTCCCTCAGAAGCCATCTCAAATTCTATCTCCTTCTTGACAATGCAGCTCATTTCCCACACAAATGGGATCTTTCCTGTGATTTCTCCACAGGGTTCTCACTGGAGGGCTTTATTACATCATATACATTTGCATGTTTCCAATCTTTAAGTTTGACACAATTATTAAAGGAAATAAACTTGTCTTTAAAATTTTTTATGCTTTTATGATTTTAGAGAGAGAGGAAGGGAGGAGAGAGAGAGAAAGAGAGAGAGAGAGAGAGAGAGAGAAGAGAAAAACATTGAAATGAGAAACATTGACCAGTTGCCTCCAAAATGCACTCAAACACACAACCTGGGTGCATGCCCTGAAGGAAATCAAACTGGCAATGGTGCGTAGGACAACATCAATCCACTGAACTACACTGACCTTGTCTTCATCAGCTCCGCCTGCCTAGTAAAGGGCCTTGCACCACAGAAGGATTACCTGCTATGGGAACTTCCTTCCAATATTCGAAACTGGAGAACCAGACCCAGGTGCGACCCAAGGGTTTCAGACAGTAGTCAGCAAGCAGTGCAGGGCTGTGGTTGAGGAGAGAGACAGACAATGTCTCCAGCCTGCTGGATGCCAGGCCCACAGACCAGCAATCCTCTGGGTCAAGGCACCTGAGGTTTCCAGCATCAAGAGGCATCCCCATTTCTGGGGCAGGAAGCTAGAAAGGGACAGCTGGGGGAGAGCAGCAGGTGCCTATGAATCTTGGCCTGAGCACTGATCTGAATTCTCTTAGGTAAAACTTCAGGAACCAGAGGAAAACACCCATCAGGGCTTAGACAAACAAATCCAAAACCACACACAAGGCTGCGAAAATGAATTCCCACCAGCAAAGTGGAGACACCAACAGAAAGTTGTCAGAAAGCACTAGCATTCATAGCAGGGCTATTAAACTCTAAATGACAACCTTTTGTAAAACCCTTCCTGAAAGAATCGAACTGATCTGCAAACAACTTAAATGTGAGCCAAAATAAATCTAACATTCTTTGAAGGAAAACAACAAAGTTTATCACTCAACTAGATAAGCTTATAATAGACTAAATCCAATCAGAAATAGGTTTGCAACAAAACAAGAGAAAAGTCAGTCAGTACAAACAGACCCGCGCCCAAGACAAAGATGATAGGGTTAGCAATAGGGGCTTATAAGAATGGTTACAAATCTTATAAATGTCTGCAAAGTTTAGGAATAAAAACAAAAAACAAAAAACGTCTCATCATATTAAGAAGAGAAATGAACCCTACATAGAACCTAAACTAAATATCTGAGTAAAAAATATACTGAATTGGATTAATGGCATATGACATTACAGAAGAAATGATAAGTAAGCCTGAGCACATGTTGATAAAACAAATGAAGAAATAAAGGGGAGAGAGAGAGAGGAGAGAGAGAGAGAGAGAGAGAGAGAGAGAGAGAGAGAGAGAGAGAGAGAGAGAGAGAAAGAGAAAGAGAAGTTCATAGTGAACCTGTGGGAAAATATCAAGCAGTTTGTATATGTGTTTGGAGTCAGAAAAAGAATGGGTGAGGGAAGATATAGTTGAAGAAAAATGGCCTGCCATTTTCCAAATCTAATAAAACTATTAAATCAAAACATTTGGTGGTCAAGGAAATCAAGCAGAATAAACATAAAGAAAGCCACACTAAGCATATCATAATCAACGTAACTAGTGGGTCAAGAGAAAAATCTCAAAAAGTAGCCTGAGAGAAAGACACATTAAAGACAGAAGAACAAGAGGAGGAATTACAGCAAACTTTTCACCAAATTCTATAAGAACCAGAATAACATGTGGCAATACCTGCAAGCACCAAAAGAAAAAGATCATTGCTCTTGCTGGTGTGGCTAAGTCAATTGGAATGTCATCCCTGTTCCCCGGAAGTCAGGGGTTCATCCCCGTGAGGGAACATACCTATGTTGCAGGTTCCAATCCTGGTCGGGGCAAATGTGAGAGGCAAACCAGTTTCTCATATTGACGTTTCTCTCTCTCCCTTCCTCTCTCTCTCTCTCTCTTTCTCTCTCTCTCTCTCAAATCAATAAACATATCCTCAGGTGAGAATTAAAAAAGAATTCTTAAAAAGAAAAAGAAAGAAAAACATTGTCAACCTAGTATTCGGAACTAGAAAAATATGTTTCAAGTATAAAGGTAAAATGAGCTCTGGGTGATGGTGAGTATCAGTGTAGGGTTATTGGTCGAAGCACATGTAGCTTTTGGTGGGGGTGTTGATTATGGGAGAGGCTCTTTATGTTGGGGCAGAAGGTACATATGGGAAAGCTCTGTATCTTCTCAATTTTGTTGTGAACCTAAAACTACTCTAAAAAACAAATTTTTAAAATTATTTTTTTTTATTGATTTCAGAGAGGAAGGGAGAGAGAGAGAAATAGACACATCATGGATGAGAGAGAAT